AAAAAAAAAAAAAAAAAAAAAAAAAAAAAGACCTTTTGGAGATTTCATATCTAGGAAATTGAAATTAGCAGAGAGTGATGAGCTTTTTTCTTCTTTCGATTTCGGGCTTGTTGCAAAATCTTTGATTTGAGGACGGAGGCTTTGTGGATTACTGTTTCCCAGTTATACATTTAGGAGGATTATTTTTATTAATTAACTTATAAAAAGACATTATTTATCAAAATAAAATAAAATAAAATAAAACCCGTCAAGTTAACGGCTTGATAACCTCATCCGTTATAGAAGGGTATTTTTCGCCACTTAGGACAAGTTTGCGCATAAAATCATTTTAGGGGTTAATCTCCCCTACATGAAAGTTTAAGGGGTAATTTACATGTTTTATCATTTAATAATTTACTCTACTTTAATATTATATATATATTTATTTATTTAATAATATAATTTATACCACATTATTATTTCTTAATTACATCCCATTCTTCGTCCCCCTGTAGCCCTATCATTACTCGTGAGAGCTAATATCACTTATATTTGTAAAATTGTGTTCACTAATAGTGCTTGTCTTTGGATTCTTGTAAAGGCAGACATGATTTAATTAGGCAACTGATAACTTACGTCATTCATAAACGATGTTGGCAGTGCCAGTAAAACACTATGGGTACTTTTGAAGAAATGGTTAATTACAATTTAATCCATCAATTAGTCAAATTTTAAATTAAAATAATCTTTAAATTTTAACAAATTATTAAAAATGAACATCTTCTAAATTAATAAAAATTTTATATAATTTAAATTATATAATATTAATTATTAAATAAAAATTAAACCTCCTAATTTTAAAATATTTTCCTTCATCAAATAATTTTCATCTTACGGTAGATTATAAATTAGGTTTATTTTAGAATACTCATATAATAGGCAAAATCCTCAAATTCACTCTAAAAAAATATCGGTAGAGATACATTCATCCCTTAAAGAAAAGTAAGGATAAATTACCCATTCAAATCATAAATTAATATAAATTACTTTTTTTTCAATAAAAAACATCAAAATTTTATTTGCCACATCAGTATTTTTTAACGAAAAACATTAAAAAAGAAGTAATTTATATTAATTTATGATTTAAAGAAATAACTTTTCTCTATTTTTTTTTAAAAATAAATATGTCCTTATCGATATTTATTTTTTAAGGATAAATTTGTGGGTTATGCCCTGTAATAACCAATTGAAAATGGAATAGGACAACAGTGCGGCTATTTGGACTGCCACTGGTGCTACAAACGGCTGTGGAATAGGACAATCCCTGCCAAGGTCAGAGCTTTTGCTTGGCAACCGTTGCAAGATAGAATTGCTACAAAGACAAAATTGATCAAACAGGATTAATCATTGACGATTATTAATTTAAGTGTTCTTTTTGCAAGAGATTTGATGAAGATTCAAATCATCCTTTCTTACACTGCACGCTTGCAACAAATGGTTTGGTTTTTGTGTCTTCTGTGGTGCGGAATGGCTTCGGTTCTGGCTAGTCGTTGTTTAACTTCATTCCAAGAACAGAGTCATATAGCCAGTGATGAACAAAAGGGAGCAAGACGCACGGGTTTCAGTCTGGTCTGCAGGAATGTGGACGTACCCTATGGAATGCTAGAAATGATAAAATTTTTAAAGAAGTGGCAGCAAATGTTGTGAAGTTGGTTAAATGGGTGCAAATTAGATCTTATATCATTGGATGACTATGAAATCCAGGAAATACAGCTTTGCACTATCTGATTGGCCACAGGATCCAAGATTATGTGCAAGGATGGCAAGCAGGAAACACTAGAGAGAAATATTTATATTAGGAATGACTAAAAAAATTATATTTATTTTATAGTTTAAAGATGAGAATGTATGAAAAGTAATTTAAAAACTAAAAATGTTTAAAATTAAAAATTCAGATACCAAAAATGATATTTAACTTTTTAAAAAAAATTAAAAA